AAACGACGGTGAAACGACGGTGAAACGACTTTGGATTCACTCCTATTTTACTGTGTAACAAAAGTGCTTTGACTGTCAAATAACTATACATTTATGAACTTTTTACAATGGTTTCACTCCATAGTTGCCATATAAAAATGTCGTTTGAACCATTTTACCAAGGTCTAATGATCTGACATATACCATATTTTGACAGTAGTGAAATGAAACAAAGTCACCAATGTTTCACAGTGAAATCACTACTGTAATACTAAGTTCTCACTGTTGACCATAGAGGGAACTACTGACTTTCTATAGCATTTTCACCGTGACCACAAAACCGCCAGGGTGGGGATAAATAGCACTTGCATAAAGGATTGCATCAGAAAATCATTTTAACAAACAAAAAGGATTTATTGATACATTGTTAATCGAAAATTGATACAATAATTTGATAATTGATATTTATATTTTTAACTTCCCGACATAATTATCTCGACATAATTTGCTATATTGCTCAGTACATAAAACTATATATAATATATATAACACCATATATTTATTGATACACATACGGATTATGCATATGTGAAGCAAACATATTGATAAATATATGATTTATGCATGAGAATGACACATTTATTTGTGGTGTATTTTTATGTGGATATTTGTAGCCAAATTTCGGATACGATTTCATATATCACATTATAATATCAATGCATTTAATCATATATTTTGAAGAATATAAACCTTTTCCAAACGGGTTACGTAATACGGTAACACCTGTGCCTGGCTATGTGACTAGCCACTATGGGACAATGGCGGATCCGCGAATATAAAAACCCCAGCCGCGGAAGCAAAGACGGCACTCATCGGGAAGTCGGAAACCAGTGTTACGGTCCGTGATATTTTTTTTACATTAAATATTTATTTAATTGAATTTACCGAGTGCCCAAATTCAATAGACAAGCCATCGGCTTTAATAAAATAAATATTAATAATTAGAGAGTAATAAATTAATTTAATTGTATTAAGACAGAAACGGTTAATAACTTTTACGTTCTATATCATATTGATTAACAAGTTATCGGTTTAAATAATCAATTCACGTTCAAAAATAGTATTTCAAACAATTCTTCGGTTCGAGAAAATAAATTAAACAAAAGATATTTCAACTCTCGAGTAATTAATCTAAGCAGCTGCATACGGTTATCAACTAGCCGGAATTTAGAAAAGAAAATTCATTACAGTTCGGCCATCGTGAAAAAAGGCACTCTCGTGAAGTTCTTATTACCCGTACTACGGTCCGCGATTATTAAAGAGTTATTAATTGTGTAAAATTTTTATTCATTCCAAATTGGAATTTAATCGAGTGCCTAAACTCAATCAACAAGCCATCGGCTTTAATAAATAATTAAAGAATTTAGAATAATTAATTTAATAAATCACTATATCTCTACTAGCTGCAGATATTTTACGTTATTTATGCATTGAAAACTAATGGAAAAAAAATATTATTTTAATTAAAATACAATTATGTATTCATTATATAATTGATCCGTATAACAATGAATGACTAAAAATGTGTACTTTTGAACATAAAAATGAATTTATTTTCACAAAATCCATCGAAAAAGCTTCAACGTATCAAAACTGAAATGAGAATATTATCTTAGCCTATGAGCCGATAAATTAGCTGGTTAACTGAGCTTAGTTTATAAAACAATGGTTAATTAGCCAACAAGTAGTTAGTTTTTTCGATGGTTCTGAAGTAAAATCAGAAGCCACACCTAAATAGACCGGATGACAAAGAAATATTCTTAAATACCTATGAAGATAATCCAATCAGATTTTTCTAACATAAATCTTGGAAAATGAATTATAAAATTACGTGTTTATAAACAATTTATTTTTAATTATGTAAAAAATAATATTTACCTATAATAGATTAAAATCAACTTTTTCTTGCAATATTTTCTTCAGTGCGAAAAATTATGAAAACAAGGTGCTTTACATGATAACAAACAAACATTTTTAAAACTGTGTCAAAAATATTGATCCATAGAAATGAATTCAAGAATCTTTTTTCCTCTAATTAATATCGACCAATAAAAAATTAATAGAAATTTTAAAATAAAAAAAAAAATAATTACTTATTAACATAACAATAAACTGATAAGAGTGATAAGATAAGGTGCTGAAACTTCATTCTTGTCATCAAGTGCGTAAGAAACAACATTTATTTCATAGCTGAAAAATAAAAGATACTAATCACTCCAATTTCAGTATTAAATTTATGATTAATTAAAATTTGTTCAAATCTTTTATTCAGTACTAACTCTTCAAAATTACCACGTAATGAATCATGAATAACTTTGAGTTCTACTTTGATAAAGTATTATTTGGCGGTGAATTAAACTCGAACAATGATCTATAAATAATTGATCATATGATTGTAATATTACAATTATATTTTCATAATAATTGACTTTCACAGTCATGAATCCTGTGTGATTTTTCAATTATTATATAGATGGAAGCGTACCTCATAAATAAAAGAAAAGAAAATTTTTGAACAATAAACAGAAGAAATCAGTAGTAGTAATAAATATTAAAAATTATATATTTTTTTTAAATTATTTGGTAGTTGAATTTGATACGAAATAATCGTTTTTTTTTTTTTTACAAACACCGAACTACTTGAAAATTTATAAATAAATTACTTATAAATATTATTTTATGATTAATCTGATGAACTATGTATAAACTTTTAATAAATTTAAAATTCGTAAATAAAGTTCAACACTTTCTTCAACATTCAGAGGTACTTGTATATCAGGTATCAATACTTTAACTAATTGACAAAATATTTCATTGTATAGTTTAGGCTTCAAAGTGTAGTCTTGTTTCAGAATATCAATTGCATGCTCATTGACTGGTTTCATGTAATTTTTGGCCCCAATAACTTCAGGAAGGTAATATAAACAATTTGGTTTCCCCGGAGCTATATGACGGTTTTTTTGTTTTCTTATTCTATGCCGATTCCACTCGTGGCGAATTGTTTCCAATTCAGCTCTAATTAAGTGCCCAAAGCAAAATCGTAAACACTCGACATGTATCATAGATGAATCGTTGTAAAAATCTCTCTCACGTAAGTCTTTAAATAAATTAATCCAAAAATCTAAACCATGACGCCTAAGCTGAGACCAATAACTCTCTATCCGCTGATTAGACGTGCTTTTACCTTTGATGAAGCTTTTCCAACCTGATAGACTATCATCATGGTAAAATCGTAAACTTTGTTGAAGGGCTTCAACTAGACAATTCTCGGTTCCATAATCTGACCGTATCAAAGTTGGAACCAGTTTCAATTTCTGTACCGTTGTTAAATAATAATATGCAATAATTTCCGGTTTATTGTTAGATGTTGCAACGTCCAACCATAAAACTTTTCTGGAAAATCCATCGATGCATCCATGAATGGCAAACCCAAAGGGCTTTAATTTATCATAACCATCAATATGCCATAGGAAATTAGGTCCTGGAACTGTGTACTTACGCCGTATCAAGCGTCGACGAGATCTCTCTTCAATTGCATTTGGATCGGCTAGATGCAAAATTTTATCAACCGTACTCCTTTTTACTTTTAAGCCATAAATTAGCCTTAAACGTTGCCACATTCTTTTGTAGCCAATACAAGAGCCACCACTAAAAATTTCATCAATCACTGCCGTACAGATAGATTCTAAAGAATCTTCAACGATTCCCTTACGCTTCAGTCCAAGCTTTTGAAGAATTCGAATGAGGTGTCGACGAGAGATTGAAATATTGTGATACTTAGATAAAAAATTTACTATCTCATTATATGTGAAACCTTCCTTGAAATATTTTGTTATCAATGATTCTCTAGACATGGTTTAAAAATTTGTTGACAGTTGCTGCATAAAATAAAAAGAATATTTTTCATTAATAAATGCTCAAAAAAAATGCAATAATTCATAGCATTGACATTGAGACATTTATCTATTTTTAAAACAATTAAATTTTAATAATAAATACTTATTCAAAAATTTCTCTTGTAAAATTAAAAATATATAAGAGAGCCTTTTTAAAAATGATTTTATTAATAGAATAGACTTGTTAATAAAATGTCAATAGTTTTCAGATATCTGCTGATATCAGTTTGACAATAAATAAAAAAAAACTGAATTATTAGACATAAATAAATAAATACATACCAAATGTATACAAATGTCTAGATTTCTTTCTGATTATTTTATGTATTAAAAGAGCTTGAATAAATAGCTTTTGCATAGGGTTGAGTGAATTTCTTATTACATTTAATTTTTAAGTTTGGACTAAAATTATTATTATATTTTATGGAATAATCCTCTTGTTAGTCCCTTAGTGAAATAAACAAGTAGCGCCACCTTTAAAAAATTAAGACCGACATACTATGTATGTCAGCAGACGCAGCCAAATCAGAGGTACTACCATGGCTACTTAACGTGTCACTACCGGGCTTCCGTAGTTTTCGCCGTTTAAACATATAAGTCTACATATATGATCATATATAGTTTTAATATAATTGATTATGTATTTTAGTAAATTTTATAATATATTGTTGAATATATATATTTTATAACATATTATTATTATATACTTGATCATATAATGTAAAAGATATATTTTCAAATATATTCTTGATCATATAATACATTTACATGGTTAAATATATAATTTATTGTACATGATAATTGTATATTATATTCCATATTGTAAAACCTATATTTTTAAGTATATTCTTGAGCATATATTGCATTTATAATGTTACAAATTTATTTTGTAAATCAATTCATAATTTTTTTTTTATTCTACATAGTCTATTCTTTATTTTGGAGTGTATGTTATTAATTTAAGAAGAAGTTATGCAGAACGTAATAAATTTATAAACTCAGTTCAAGTTTTTTTTTTGAAATTTTCAGGATCTAATAAATTTACTAATGGTATTCCTAAATTTATATAGTATAAAAATCAGAAAACAGCCGTTTTATACAATAAATACTCTAATTTCAAATAAATAACTTTACGAGATTTGAACCTCAGTTATAGTTATTCCATTGCAGTTGCAGTGCACTCTGTTTTTTTTTCTATGTAAATTAAAATGCTTACATATATTCAGAATATAATATATATCATCATTTATTAATTAATTTAATTTTATTTAATTAGTTTAACAAGCAAAGTATTCTCACAATTAATTAAATTTTTATTGAGTTATTCCTGTTTAACTTCAGGTTCAGGATTTACTCGATTTTTGCGACGCATGTCCGTAAGCATATTGTTTATTGCTATTCCAAACAACATGCGCTTAAATTCTCTGGGAAACTTATTTTTGACTGCTTCTGTGATAACGAGAACTTAAATGAAAATGAATTTAATAATTATTGTATATAAGCATACTTTTCTTGGGTTTTTTATTTTTCAATCGAGATTATTATATTATAAATTGTTCAATATTTAATGTGTTTACTTTTTTTTGAACATTAAATGAAAATTAGTTCATTTTAGGAATATATTAAGTTTAATTCATTTTAAGGTTAAAAAATGACATTTTTTCTATTAATTTCATGTTTTCAATGTGAATATATACATTACCCGAGAAAAAATATTTATATATAATTATATATATTTATATATAAATTGGTTATATATGATTATATATGAAAAATGGCCAAATATAATCATATCTAATTATATATAATTATGTATAATTATATATAACTATATATAACAAT